GCTTGCCAGGGAAGCGCTTATTTCACTGAGCCATTTCTCAGGCCTTTTGTTTTAATTTTTTTTTCACTGTGTACTTAAAATGTATTTTATATATTTTATAGCATTTCTGAAACCTGCATATTTCCTGAACAATTATCTAAATTAAAGATGTAGTATGTCTCTTGTTTTGTAATGATCAATATTAACTTAGACTATATTTCATTATCAGGCTGTTCTTCAGTTAGAAAGGATCTTTGAATAGAAGAAATGAAGTGATGCCTCAGAATGCTTTACTGATCCTATTAAATCTCCCCTAAAACGTCATAATAATGAAAGTTTATTGGTCTTTATTTTTTCTACAGGAACACCAGTGTATTCAGTAGCTTGGGGCCCTGATTCAGAAAAAGTTCTTTACACAGCAGGCAAGCAGCTGATTATTAAGCCTCTTCAACCAAATGCTAAAGTTTTACAGGTATTTCACAAGCATTTGTAAATTGTTATCAGGATGTATGACTGCTAAGCTAGAAGGAACTATAGTCCCTTTCCTCTGGGTTATCACTTTACAGTTTGAAGTTTCAAATGGATAGTTTTATCAGCCTTCAGAGGAGGTAATACCAGTTTATGTTTTTAATAAGGTTCGTTTTCCTCTTATTCAAATTCATGTTATTAAAACAAAATTCATGTTATAAGGGCCATTGGGATCGCTCAGCAGATTAAGTGCCTGTTTAGGAAAGCGCAGGGATTGGGGTTCCATCCCTGGCACTACAAACCACACTGGCCCCGCCCCCCTGGCATTCTGCGCTGGCCCCTGAGTCTGGGCATGGTGGCGCACACCTGTAATCCCAGTGCTGGGGAGGCTGAAAACAGGAAGATCACTGCGAGTCCGAGCTGCGTAGTGAGACCCTGTACCAAATACATTAAAAAAAAAAAAATAAATTCATGCTACAACAGTAAATTATAAAGATAGTTTTAGTAACTTAATTGTCACATGACTTGGCGCAGGTAAGCATCTTTAAATTTAGGAAATCAAACATTTATAGATTCATGCCAAAACAGAAGTAAATCATAAAACTTCAATAAGTTTGCTTAGACTCTTTAAAAATCATCACGATCATCTGTTGAAACACTTAAGCTCTGTCTGAGAGCCTAGCATTCTTTTAATATTTTTTTAGAATAGCAGGGGAGTCACTACAGTCATTGAAACAAATTATGTGATGCAGCTTTATGACTAACATAGCATAGATTTATCTGAAAGATAAATGTTAAGCTCATGCTTTTTTGAGTTGTTCAGAAAGGAGGAAGTGTTAAGTTAGGAGCTGAATCTTAAAGGGAAAGGAGGAAGGACTGTACTAAGTCCAGGGGCCAGAAAAATTATTGATCAAAGTAATAGCAGTATGGTTTGAGCACAGTAAAAACAGGCTTTAGGGTTGGTCAGCTGGGTTAAAAATCTTCACTTACTGGCCTACATGTGGCCTTAGGTAAGTTATGAAAAACAAATAAAGGAAACTCAAGCCATGTGTACATGTGTATCTAAGTATCTTTTCATTGTCTTTACTGTTTATCTCAGGATACTGGATTAATTTAGAAGTGAACCGTGAGTTACAGTCTTATGTACAAAACATTTGTGTTGGGCATGATGGTGTATGCCTGAATCCAGGATACTCAGGAGGCTTAGGCAAGAGGATAGCAAGTTTAAAACCAGTCCAGGAAACTTAGCAAGGTGCTGTGTAAACAATTTTTTAAAATAAAAATGGCCAGGGACTCATGCATTAATGATAAAGCTAGCTTGAGTCTCATTGCTATAGAAATCATAAGAAAGACCAAAAAACCTCCAAAACCAAAAGAAAATGATATATTTTTGTATATTTTAAGTGAAACAAACAAATTCTTGGAGCTTATTTTACTCGTATTTAATATTTTACCCTATATACCTTAAGAATAATAAATTGGGAAGATTGTAAAGACAAGTCCTTAAATCTGTTACTCTTTGATATTAAGATATATTGAAATATACCTTAAAGTGATCAAGGTATGTTCCTTTTGTTACATTATTCTGCCCACAGTAGGATTTAATTGCATGTGTGGTAATAGCTAATCAGGGACATAAATTTTGTTATTATATTTAAAAGCATAAAACCTTTCTTCCTAGATTGCCAGTATCTAGGTTAATTGTACACACACACACACACACACACACACATGCATATAGAATATATGTATAGAAAACATCATCTTGTATGCAGTAGAAGATTTTCAGTTATCTCATTGTGAACCAGACCCATAAAGGCAAAGACAGTAAAGTTTAGGAGAATATACAGAAGAGAATAAAGAGAATACTAAATATGGCATGCAATAGGTGTTAAACAAAAAGGAAAAAGAAAGTAGACTGGTGGTAGATCTCAGTGATAGGGCATCCTTAGCATGTGTGAGGCCCTGGGTTTAATTTCTACCTCAAGAAAGCAGAAGGAGAGGGAGAATAAAAGGGATAGGAGCTTGGGGGGGGGGCAGAAGACAGTAAGACAGTGTCAGTATCAGTAATGGGATCGCCTCTGCAAAGGAGACAGCAAGATTGAGGTGCAGCTGACACTTTGGAGGATATAATGTATTTATGCCAGGGTTATCATACAAATAAAAAACTTGAAATAATTCAGCAGCATTTGGAGTCCAGGCAGCACTGAGTAAGCAATACAGTGGCTGCCAGCTGTTTTCACTGATGTAAAGTGGAAATGACACAGACTTTAAGGAATATGTAGTGGTTATAAATATAGGATTACAGGGTTACACAGTGGAACATAGGATTTTCTGAATTGATAGCAAAAAAAAAAATCATTAGAAAGAGGCAGTGAGGGGCTGGGGAGATGGCTTAGTAGAATAAGTGCTTCCCTGGCAAGTGCAAGGGCCTGAGTTCTGAAAAAAAAAAAAAAAAAAAAAAAAAAAAAGAGGCAGTGAGGTAGATGTGATAATGTGCTTCTGTCAGGAGACTGAAGCAGGAGACAAAAAGTTTAAGATCAGCCTAGGCAACATAGCAAGGAGCCCCTGTCTCTTAATGAAAAAGAAAAGCAAGGAAAATGTTTTTCTTGTAGAAAAATCTTCACATTTACATTTAATTATTGGCTCTTTTTTCTCGTAGTGGAAAGCTCATGATGGTATTATTTTGAAAGTTGATTGGAACTCAGTCAATGACCTTATTTTATCTGCTGGTGAAGATTGTAAATATAAGGTAAGTAATGTTTAGGCTTACAGCATATTTGAAGGAATCCAATTTAGATGAAAAGATTTAGCAGATAAAGATACAGATAAAGTTCCAGTGTTTTACTTTAGCCATGTCTTTTAATTCTACTAATTTTGCTATTTTCTAATTTTAAGTAGAATTCTTATGTTCAAGGTATAAAAACTGTCTTTATTGACATACAGAGTTTGATTTAGTAAGTAGTATGATTCAATTTAAATCAGAAGTTTTACTGAATGGTGGTCAGCTTCAAAACAAAATAATTTATGAGGACGAATAAGATACTTCTTTTCGGTGGTGCTAGGGATCAAACTCAAGGCCTTGCACATGTAAAGCAAATGCTCCACCACTGAGATATACCTTCAGGCCCTGAAACTTAATGTAACCGTAGTTGAAGGAACTTTCACAGAAATAAATTATTTTAGAGAAAGTCGATACAGCCTTCAGTGGACAAAAAAAAAATCATGCAAAGTATTAAATATCTCAAAATTTTACCATTAATGTAAAGAACTCAAAATGAATAGGTGTTATCTAGGATTGAGTAAAATCTGAAAATTACCACATTGAAATTTTTTTCAAATATTTAAATTTAAAGGAATATAGCTTTTTTCTCCTTTGTATGATAAAGATATTTAATTACTAATAGCATAAGGTCATGATTTATTAATCTTCATTTGATACCTTTTGGGGGACAAACTTGTTTATAATAATATGGTGATTGTTATAGTTTTTAAAAGTTTGCTTTTATAGGTGTGGGATAGTTATGGCCGTCCACTGTACAATTCACAACCTCATGAGCATCCTATTACTTCGCTTGCTTGGGCTCCAGATGGAGAATTATTTGCTGTTGGATCATTTCATACTCTACGTTTATGTGATAAAACTGGGGTAAGTTGTAATGGTGAGCAGTTGTACATACTGTCGTAAATGTGGTAAAATATGATATGCATGGTTCCCCATCTTTAAAGAACATTTTCAGTGACTGCCTTTGACTGAATCATTCTGGTTTATCTTCTCAACATGATGGTTTCATCAGTTTCAAATTAGTGGGGCCAAAGAAACTATTCAGATTTGAAGAATGAACATCTACTGTTTTTTTTTTTTTTTTTGTGGTACTGGGGATTGAACTCAGGACCTTGCGCTTGCCAGACAAGCACTTAATAACTAAGGTATCTCTCTGGCCCCAACTATTTCTTTCTAGAAATACCTATTTGGAACCTGATTGTGAAGGATAGTGGGGTAGTTAAAGTATTGAAATGTATGTGCATTCATTAGGGAGAATGTAGTTTTAAATTTATTTTAGTTGTGTATTTCTTATGAGGAATTAATTGTAAATTTTAAGATATTTATTTATTTGGTACAGGGTCTCGCTATCAGCTCAAACTCATAGTGATCCTCCTGTCTCAGCCTCCCCCGTGCTGGGGTTACAGATGTGTGCCACTGTTTCAGGCTGGCTGGGCCTGCCCATGGTTCCAGGGTCTGGGGCTGGCACCACATGCAGTTTTCAGGAATCGAACCTAGGTCCTGGTGCTTGCCAGGCAGGTGCTTAGATTGCTGAGCTATCTCTCCAACACTTAAGTTACTTTAATACCAAAGGACAATTTGTCTCTAAGAATTTATATCTGAATATATGTGAGGATTCTTTCTCCTGAGATGTCCTCTGTCATGTAAATTCTGTTTAGAACCTACAGAAAAAGCCACGACCATGCTCAGCATCATTTTGCCCATTGTTCTTCAAGAAATAGTTTCCAAAACAGCATTACCAGGTAGCAGGAGGATTTCAATGGGTGTGTCAGCTATAACTTTAATAGAATACCTGAGATGGTCAACTTATAAATAGGAAAGACTTATTTTCCTTATAGTTGGGAGGTTCCAGCCCATGATTGATTGGCCCAATGCATTTGGGCCTGTTGTGAGGCGGTGCATCATGGTGAGCACATGGGGAAGAACAAAACTGCTCACCTCTGCAGCCAGAAAGCAAGAGAAAGAAAACAGGCCAGTTCCCACACAGGCATACCCTGGTGACATGAAGGCCTCCCACACAGTTTTCAGTCCTCTAAAGGGTCTACTACCTCCCAGTAGTAGGATTCTGGGATCTAAGGCTTTAACAGATGGGGTTTGGGGAGAACTTTTAAGATCCAAACTGTAGCAGTGGGGCTATTCCATATTATTTCCAGCTATGAGGAAATCATATAATTGTTTTGTAGCTCTTTTTCTTCAAATATAAAATAACAACTTAGAATTTTTAGAGCTTTATAAATGATTCTTTTAATTTTCTGGTTACTTATTTCCCATCACATAAAATTATAGCCCTCTGCCTGGCTTTAGAAGCCCTCTGAAATCTGGTGCCATAAAATCTTTTCAGTCTTTTCCCCTACAGCTCTCTAATTTGTATGTGTGCTCCCATAAGGTTAAACGCTGGCTCAGGAACCTTTCCTGCCCCTTGCTAATATCCTTATTCTTTACCTCTTTTCATGTAATACTCTTACCTCTTAATGTACAGTGAGTCCCAAGACCTAGCTTACATTTGACTCCTTTCATTGTATGTCTAATAGAAAACTTACAATTTTATCCAGTTTTCTTTCTTTCATCAAAGTCTCTTTTTTTTTTTTTTTTTTCACTTAAACATGTTTTTTCAGTTACATTATTTTATCACTTAAAGACCTATTTTGTTTTGTTTTTGGATTTTTTGCCTCAGGTTTTTTATCAATGGATTTTGCAACAGTTTAATTTTTACAATCTATTATGCTTATATTATCCATATTATCCTTTTTTTTTTTTTTTTTTTTTTTTTAAACATGTTTTTTCAGTTACATTATTTTATCA